ACTACTAAATTTGCTAATTTTCAGTCAGTTGGACTTGGGAACAACATATCATTTTAATATTTTATATTTTTGATTGGGCTGAATTTATAGTAGTTTTTCTTCATATTGATGCTAACTGAGTGCTTTGTCATTCATACTAACCTCCAAAATAAAATAATAATGATTATTATAAAACTTAATAGCTGCTGAATTAACGTTAGAGCGTTCGTTCGTTAAAAAATCTAAAAAGTGATATTTATTATTGCTGATTTAGCTAAATACATAAAAAACTAGCTTATGCAAATGTATACAAGTTTTAGGGTGCTGAATATACATACGTCTGAAGAAACAATGGATAAAAGTAGAACGTTTTTAGATGTACATTTTTTGTTAGTTTTATAAACTAGTTAATCTTCTAAATTTGAAATGTAAGCTCACAAAAAATTACGCAGAAACCGAAAATTAGTCAGCTCTTAGTCAATAATTTGTTGACTAAAAGTATTATGCGAAGAAAGCAAACGATTAGCTGAAATATTGTAAATCAGATACAACAACACTATCAATTGTACGAACGTCAATAGATGGGTACACATATATATAGATATCTGCGAACTTTGAGATGATTAGAATTTTTTATTAGCTTGGGAAATTAGCACTGAACAGTTCGCATCTGTGCACTAATTGAAAAATCAGACATTTCTGCTGACTTCGCACCTATTCAGGTACGTATACAGGGATAATGAAATAATCTGCGATTATTGTGAGTATAAATGTATATTGCAGTAGAGGTTTTAAAGGGTGTAACATAATTTACATATATATGTTTGAAGGAATATATTAAAAAACCGAATATCACAGCTGCTTAAAAGAAAAAACTCAGATAAGTTCAGAATTTTTTAAAATTTATAGAAGGTTATTCATGGATGTACATTTCTAATCCTGAGTTGAGCACTCCACTGTGTGCGCTTAGTAAAGTAACGGTATTAAGGAATTTCAATGAACCTAAATATCACATTTTGAAGCGCTATGTCATTAGGCTGCTGCTATTCAGCGCATACTTTTCTAAGTTGTTTAGCAGTTTTGACTTTTTACTTCACTATGTGCTCAACCTTAGGTTCCAAAGCTCACTGTAGATGCTATTCAGCGCATACTTTTCCAAGTTAGCAGTTTTGAATTTTTACTTCACTATGTGCTCAACCCTAGGTTCTAAAGCTCATTGTTGGTGGTATTCAGCGCATACTTTTCTAAGTTGTTTAGCAGTTTTGAATTTTTACTTCGCTATGTTCTCAACCTTAAGTTCTGAAGCTCATTATTGGTGCTATTCAGCGCATACTTTTCTAAGTTATTCAATAGTTTTGACTTTTTACTTCACTATGTGCTCAACCTTAGGTTGTATAGCTCACTGTAGGTGCTATTCAGCGCATACTTCTCCAAGTTGTCTAGCAGTTTTGACTTTATTAAGTATTGAGCACTAAGTGCTCAACCTTAGGTTTCAAAGCTCACTGTAGGTGCAATATTTTTGATGTCTGCCGCAACTTTGAACTTTCTTTGTACTAATTGAACATTTATCTAATTTTTTCATAAATCTAAGCGCTTTTGACTACATTGAAATTCAGTTTACGCTACATACCCAACCACTTGAAAGCTTTATGGCCACTCAATTGCACCACTCCTGTGCTATAATGATAATATTCCCATAATAACACCTCTTTTTGTATTTCTGTCACTCTCTGCCATCAATTAATGTTATTGTCATTTAAGTGTTTAAGTTTTCAACTCGAAGAGTTATTGAGAGTTCCATGCTTGAGCCATATTGTGCTGCCAAGCTTATCTCCCTCAATCGTCTAAGCAAAAGTATGATTGATCGCCAGCAAAATTTTGCCTTTACTTCTACTTTTCAAAAAATTCCCTTTTTTTTTTTGTTTTTTTTTTTGGTATGTTATAAAGCAACAATTTTGGAGTTTTGTTGTTCATATTGTTGTTGCTATCGCCAACAAACACTTTTAATGGCTGTGACGTGTTTGAAAAATGGCAGCTGCTGATTGTTGTTGTTTGGTATAGTTGGCGTATATGAATTTGTTTGTATGTATTTTTGACAGGCCATGACTAACGGCGCTGGAAAAATCACAGTTGGCCAACAAAAGTGGCAGCTAAACCAACTTGATCGACACGATTTCGCATAAAGACCCATAATGAAACCGAAATGAAATCAAAAACGTGCTGCAGTTGTGCTCAATAATAGTTGTATATGTATGTATGTATGCAGTTTTCTATTTCATTACTGAGTCACCAAATGATTTGGTTTTTTGTTTTTCAATAACAAATCTGTGAGAATTCAATGAGTTTTAGACAGGTTATAATGCTTATCGGCCCCCATGCCTCTAGGGTGTTTATGTATTGTAGATAATGGAAAATAAAATGACACAGAGAGCAACAGTACAATAAGTGCTTATGGCAGATATAGGGTTGCAACGTATTTATGACAATAATAATTTTTTAAAATTATTTTATTTTCAACAAATAGTTTTCTAAGCATTAGATACAACTTCTTTTTACCTAGATAATTTTTTTATTCCCATAAATATTTGGCAACTCTAAATGTGAAATGTGGCCTTACTTATAAAAGTTGCCATTATTAATATTTTTATACGTAAGATTAAGATTCCCAACTGCTATTAATTAGTTCCTATTGCCAAAATATTAAAAAAAAAATAATAATTTCATAAAAAATACCTTTCAGAGTTGCAAAGTAATTTTAATACTAAATAATGCTTATTTTCAATGCTTCGGGCTAAAAGTTTACAATTAATATTAAAAATTACGGTATACTTGTGTTCCGTAAAAGAATTTCGCTTTTTCAAAACAATTAATTTACAATAGGGTTGCCAAAAAGTGTTTTATTGCGTTGTATTTAAATATATAGTATTATTTTTAATGCTATTCTGCTATGTTTATATAATCGAAATTTAATATTTTTATCGTTTCCATAATTATTGAAAGCAACGACTGAAATAAAAAATTTAAAAAATTAGAACTACCCTGTCTTTATATTTTAATTGCAGTAAAAGGCAGCGCTCAAATAGCAATTTCTTTTTACATTCTAATATGAAGATTTTTCAAATAGACCACAGCGATTTTAATTTCGAAAAAAAACTATATTAGAGTTGCCACTTAAATAAATTACAAAATTTTTTTTCACACTTATTTTTAATTTAATTGAAAACAAATATGCAGACAAAATCAAATAGATTAAATATATAAGCTAATTTTGAAAAAAATGTAAGTGTTTCCACATCTGCGAATAAAATATGTCGAAGCATTACATTACTTTACTTTTTTTAAATTTGTTTTCGCAGTAATACTCAGACATCAACAAATAGATTATAGCGATTTATAAAGAAATAGCCGAACGAAAGTAAATAGATTAAATATATAGCTTAATGTTGGAAAAAAATGTTAGGGTTGCCATGTTTAAAATTTACGTAACTAAATTCTTTTAAATTTGTATGTGTTGTGAGATGACAACAAATAGAATACAACGATCTTACGCTTGAAAAAAATATACTAGAGTTGCCATTTGAATATATTTTTAAAATTTGTTTTCACATATATTTTTATATTGATTATAAAAAAATACCCAAACCAAATATTTGATTTGGTCAAAAATATATATGTATATTCTCACTTAAAAAAAAAATTAGGGTTGCCACTTATTGCGAATAATATATGTTTAAACGTTAAGTTACTTTATTATTTTTTTAAATTTGTATGTAGAGAAATAGTCAGAGGACATCAAATAAAAATAGCGATTTTAATTGCGAAAAAAATGTTAGGGATGCCACTTATTGCGAATAATATATGTTTAAAATTTACTAAAATTTACCTTACTTTAATCGTTTTCAACAAAGTTTTCTCCTAATATGTAAAGAAATAGTAATCGCAAAAATTCCAATTTTAATAATTTATAATTTCAAAGAAAGGCATGCAACCATGCAACCCTGCTTTTGTGTCACAGCGCAACGCAACGTAGAAATTTTCAAGTACGTTAAATATATTTTTTAAATAAACATTTTTATAAACAGTTTTAGCCTTCAAGAACAACCCACATACACACAAAAACTACAACAAAAAAGGAACGAAAACAACAATAACAGCACACTTAATTGATATTACTCAATAACTTATGGACAATCAATTAACGACAATTTAATAAAACCATAAGCGGCGGTTAATTGCAAAAAATACCAAAAGAAGAGGAAGAAAAAGAGGAAGCAGAAGCACAAACAAACATACTCACATATATTTCTGCAGTAAAAGAAAAGAAATTTACAACAATTTGTGATACGAAGGTGTGAGCGCAGCAGCTTTATCAACAATATTAATTAAAAAGATTGCACACACAAGAAGGACGCTTGCGAACAGCGTTGAGGAAATTTCAAATAATAACGGTCAAGCGTGTGTTTGCAACCCCCGAGCAGCGCACTCGCATAGCTTTTGAACAAGTGAGCGCGTCAAGGCGGAAAGGACAGCAGTCGGCAGGGAAGCAAGAAACCAGGAAGGAAGGAAGGAAGTTCAACAGCCAGCAAACACAGTCGACAGTCGAAAAGTAGTCGCAGCAGACAGCGCACAATTTAATTTCACTATGGGAAATTCATCGTCACACACACACGAACCACTGGAGCGCGGCTTCACACGCGGAAAATTTGGTGATGTCAAAAATGGGGTAGGTTTCACACACAAATACATGTTCATATATAGCTACAGACGTAAGTAGAACCAGAGCAGTAAGAAAAAAATGAATAATAATAAACAATAGAATATGTTTAACGCGGTCAAAGGCGCTGCGTCGTCGAACCCCGAATGCTGACCGCTGAACGCTTTAAATTCAATGTTGATCTAGCACTTGTTTCACACGATCGCGTCGCTTTTGTTACCTTATATTATTGTGTTTTTTGTCTAAAAAATAAATTTGAATATGCAACACAAATTAATGTACTTCTCGCCTCTCTCTCTCTGCTTAGAAATCCGCATCATTTCGCTTTAGCAAGAAATCACCAAAAAAAATGGATCGTTTGCGTCGATCCTTTCGCGATTCGTTTCGTCGTCGAAAGGACCGTGTGCCCGAATCATCGAAACCGCATCAATGGCAGGCTGACGAGGAGGCTGTACGTTCGGCGACCTGTTCGTTTGCGGTTAAATATTTGGGTTGCGTTGAGGTATTCGAATCGCGCGGTATGCAAGTTTGCGAGGAGGCCCTAAAAGTATTGAGGGTAAGTAAATACTTTCATATATATTTAGGATATAAATTGTGTGAAAAAATGCGCATTGAGTGGTTAGCGCATTTGTCACTTGAGTGCGCTGTGGGAAGCTGTAGAATCTTTAGGTGCGCCAAATAAAGTTTAGCGAACTCTAAAGTGGCTATGGTTTTTGTTGTTGTTGTTATAATAACGATTCTTATTTGCCCTGAAAAGCTCTTGTTGTGGTTGTTGTTGTAGCGGCAGAACACATTCTTGCAGTAATTTCGGGGAATGGCGCCGTGGTGACAGTATTTGGCTGGTTAATCATCCAGGTCCGCTCCGATTACTTTGACCCGACTGTCGTCAGAACGGTGAAGAGTTCTTCGGTATTGTCTTTAGACACATGGATCAGCGATTGAAGACTTGAGCAGTCTCCATTATTGCCATTGATTTGGATTCGACGACTAATTCGACCTGCGTCTGAGTACATAATACAATACGTTCAAAGATATCCCAATATAGGCTTCGGCCTCCAGCTGCTTCATTATTTCAGACATCACCTAACAGTTTAAAAAAGATTCCACCAACTAAAGGCTCTAAAAGACTCTGTTTTTTTCGTTGCGCTATATTCTAAGACAAGCGTGGTATTTATTTAATGCATTAAAAAGTAAAAAATATCGAATTATAGGCCATAGATGCCCCATATTCAACACCTGATGGATTTTAAAAATGTCGACCTTTCAGGCTGCTGTCACATCTTGAAATCTCAGATCTCTGCTAAAAAAAAAAGTTTCAACTCATAAACCTCCGGCTGATCCATCTTAAAGGTTTGATCAAGTCTAATTCATTGTTCTCGATTCGAAGACAAGTTCGACCTTTCTGAAGTGGTAATACGCAACTTTCCTTTATGAGGTCAAGCATTCCAGGCATCACCTCGTTCAGTTCGCAAGGGCATCTGCTCTCAGGCTATAACATTTTTAAAGCTCAGAATAAATTAAAGAAATTAACTTGCTCCATGCGCTTAGAGATTTGAATACTCCCATTCTTATCATTCAATTGGATTCAGCTACAAGTTCGGCGTTTATCTGAGGGCATAGTACGAGTCTTTCAAAAACATCGTAGTATAGATCTTGGTATTAAGTTGTATGAGGTCCAATATTTCTTACAGCACTTGACAACTTGAAAAAAGTTTCACTTTAAAGTCTAGATCTCTACTATAGAGTATGTTTTCGACTCCTAGACCTCACGCAGGCCAATGCGTTTAAAGACTTCTACAGACTCCATTCACATCGTTGAATTGAATTAGATGACAAATTCGGCCTTTATCTGGGGGAGTAATACAAAATTTTCAAAAATATCGCAGTAAATCTTTGTATTCCTCTTGTATGGGGTCCAATATTTCAGGCGGCACTTGCCGGTGACGGCTTGAAATATGCTTCCGCACTCAAACAGCTTCCATTTTGAGAGCTCAGATTTCTACAAAGACTATTTTTGCAAACCATAGAACTTTCATATGCTTTCTGGGAATCTTATGATAATAAACCTATGCTATAAAATCTCTCAACTTTCGAACAATAATAAACTAAATTCATATCATAAAACTCAAATCCGTACGGCTTCAGATCTTTTTAAGCAGAATTGACTCCCATAAGTCAGAAATTTAACCGGTTATCGAAAATACTTCTAAGATACATAGGAAGTTTTGTAAGAAAGAGTTAGAGGATCAACTTATCCAATAGATCCTCATGTTTATCAGATCAATCTTCAGATCTTTCCAACCAGAATTGAATCTCAAAAGCTTGAAATTTAATCGGTATATTGACAATACTTCTGAGATATGTAGGAAGTTCTGTAAGAGAAAGTTAGAGAATCAGCTTATCCAATAGACCCTCATTATTATCAGATCTAGTAAAAAGGTAACGAAACGCTAGCGATCCTAACCAATGGACTTTAAGTCCGAGACATCAGCAATTTTTCATGGGATGCTGTAAAAATGAATCAAAACTTTGACAACTCGAGACATTAGCAAAACAACTTTTATTTCGATGAGAGTTTTGGCTCTGTGAAAGAAGAAGCCATTCAAATCAATAAAATTTGGAGCGAATACAGCTCGTAAAATCTTTGAATTTGCTACAAACTTTAAAAGTCACAAAAATCTAATCAGCAGTTGTGGTAAATCTAGAAAGAGACCTGACTAAACGATACAGATTTAAGAACCTGATTAATTTGAGCTTTTATATTATTTCATTCATAAAAATTTCTGTCAAAAATTAAACTGTTTAACCTCAATATAAAATTGTGGGCGTTTATTTCTGACTCATCAAACAAACTAATGGTACAAAGTAAAATAATCAGCAGTGTTTACTCTCATACAGTCCTGCAAATTACCAACCGCAGACGCACAACTTCTGATAGCTGACAAATGTGGGCGTAGACCACGCGTTTATCACACAACCACTAAAATACGGACTCTTTAATCACTTCTCACTTTTTTTATTGCAGAATTCGCGCCGCCGACCCATACGTGGTGTGCTGCACGTTAGCGGCGATGGACTGCGCGTCGTGGACGATGAGACGAAGGGCCTCATTGTCGATCAGACTATCGAGAAAGTGAGCTTCTGTGCGCCAGATCGTAATCACGAGCGCGGCTTCAGTTACATTTGTCGCGACGGCACAACACGTCGTTGGATGTGTCACGGCTTTCTCGCCTGCAAAGAGCTCGGCGAGCGACTCTCACATGCCGTCGGTTGCGCATTTGCCGTCTGCTTGGAACGTAAACAGCGACGCGATAAGGAATGTGGCGTCACAATGACATTCGACGTGAAGAATTCGACATTTACGCGTACGGGTTCATTCCGTCAGCAAACGTTGACCGAACGTTTGGCGCAAGGTGAGACGCCATCCGCTGCTGTACCACCACAGCCCAAACCATACAATCCGTTCGCCATCGAACGGCCACATGCCACACCGTCGATGTTGGAGCGTCAGGGCTCGTTTCGTGCATTCAGCACCATTGGCAGTCAATCACCGTTCAAACGGCAGATGTCATTACGTATCAACGATCTTCCGTCCAATACCGAAAGGCAGAAGGCATTTTTGGCAGCTGCCAGTGGTGGTTCACTAGCCGCAGCGTTAGCTACACCCAATCGTAGTGTTTCGCCGATACCAGAGATCTCACCAGCTAAAATGGGCATTGCAGATATGGATAATGGTTGTGCCACCATCGACACCGTAAGCCAGTTGTGTCAGGAGCTCAGTCAGGGTCTGTCGTTGCTCAGTCAAACCGATGCAATGATTGCGGCTGGCGATGATCTCAATTTCAATAATAATTTGAGCATTAATCAGAATATCATTGCGGCCGAGAAGACGCAACAACAACAAAAGAGAATCTCTACACCAACATCATTGCCGTTAGCTAGCAGTAGCAGTCATAGCATTACCGCTGCTGCTGTTGTCAGCAAAGTTTACGAATATGCTGAGGGTGCAGTAAGCAATAATTCGATTGCTAGTGGTGCAGTTACCACCATCACCACTACACCAACGGCACAAATAGCGCCATGCATTTCGTCGGTATCACCAGTATCTACCAATTCGCCAGTACGTACACCAACAACACCAACGTTAACAATGACACCACCGCCACCATTGCCAGCTGGTCGCCCCGTAGAGATGGTCGCACCACTGCCCAATGCGGATCAATGGCTAGGCGAGGTGGTGAAGAAGACCTCGCCGGCAGTCATTAAACGTGCAACACGTATGCTCAACTCAACTGGTCGTACGCAATCGATGAGCGCTGCATCACCATTAGGTGTGGATCCCTTCGATGCTGAATGGGTGGCCGGCGTTACGAAGCCACTGTCACCCGATCTACCTGTGGCAGCCACAATGCCAGTGGCGTCTGCAGTTACGCCCGTCGCTAGCAGTACATCTGCACCAATACACCACAGTACCAATCCATTTATATCACCGCCGAAGGTACCGGCGCAAACATTCCAGGTGCAGCTGTAGATGCAGTAGGCGAGGTGTACAAGCCTCGTGCTAGTAGTTGATGATATCAGTGAAGTAATACATGTGTTCGATCTGTGTAATGCATGGTGTCGATTAGCAACTCAAATAGTGTTAGGTGTGTAGAAAGTTTGCAAAAATGGAATCGCTAGATAAATGTTGTTGTTAATGCGAAATGAGTATGAGCGGGGTGTAAAATGTAAAAAGATTTCGGTAATAGAATTGCATGCACTGCCAATAATTGTTTATTATAAAAATAGCGATTTAATTTCTTTACATTTCAGGCTTAGTACTGAACTACTTTAAAAGTAACTAGTTGGTTTTGGTTCAGTTGCAAAATTTTGTGAGAATACTAGAATTTCATTTATAAAGAAATTATTCGATGAATATATTACAAAATAACGAATATTTTACTAGTTACTTTTGGCCCAGTTAAATTTTTTTTTACAAAATTACAAATATTTTTTGAATTTTCTGAAGAGACGTGTATTTTAAATTCGAAAATCAAACACTTTGCCAATTTTGCTAAGTATGAATTGTTTTAACAATTGTAAATATTAAAAATTTAAGTTTTGAGTTGATTATAAACACTTGCAATCAATTAGTTAATATACATTTTACATGTACATATATCAACATTTTCAGCTGTTAATGTAATTTTTATGATATGTATAAGACATGCCGTAATCTTTTAGAAATGAAGTAGAAATAACTGAATATTTTTGGTCTATATATGGAACTAGTACTCACTGTAAGAAATGAATCGAATTTGCGAAATGTGTAAAAATTTATATTAAGTTGATTTGTGAATTTGATTAAAACTAGTTTGCGAACTAGTTGACGTACTACTTTTTTATCCGCTGATAAGACTTTCGCTATTTTTTATATAAAAAAGGAATTTTAATATAAAATACCGTTAAATTGAAAAAATTTGAAAATTATTGCAACATTCGTTTAAAAAAAAATATTTAAAAAAACTAGTTGTTTTTGGACCAGTCCTTGAACTAGTTACTTTTTAATTTTTCGCAGTGTATTTAATTTTATAAAAAATTTAGAAATTTATTTATATTAATCATTGCAACACTATTTCAAAAATTTTAACTAGTTATTTTTGGCTTAGTTATGTTACTAGTTGCTTTCAGCTTTTTCTTAATTTTTTTGCAGTGTATGCAATTCTAAGTAAATAAGAAAGCAGGTTTGCTTTTTAAACTCAAAATTTTTGTAAGAACCAGCGGGCACTTACATGAAATTACATATTTGAGTTGCTATAAATATTACTGCAGATTAGTTGGAGAGATAACCAATGTTATTATATTAACTACTGCTAAATTATTAATGTTAAATGTACTTAAATAGTTTATAAATGAATTAACACTTAAACTATGCGCAGCTGAAACAGAATTACTTAAAGTAATCGGCAAAACAGAGCATATAATTACTTAATTATAAAAAAAAATTATAATAATATAAAAAATATATTTAACTATATATAAAAAAAATATAAAATTATATTAAAAAATATGCAAAAAAAAATATTACAACAAAAAAATAAATTTAAAAAAATTCAAAAAGCTGGGCAGCACGCCAAGTGATAACCGAGACAGCATAGTAACGTGTAGAAAAATAGTAGATATAGTGAAAGAAATACATACATATATAAAAGACGTTAGGTTATGTATTAAAAATATGTACATCTAAAATATCAACTATCAATTACAAGGCAGTAATTAATGAAATTAAATATATATATTAATTAATTAATAAAAGCACACAGAAAAGCAAGGAAAAAAGCACGCATTGCAACACACACTGTTAATTGAATTATTAATGTTAACTGTAACTGTATAGTACTTAAATGGCTTATTACATAAAATACTGAAAAAAACGCATACATACATTAAAGGGTGAAAAATTAGCAATAAATAAAGAATATAGCTTACTTAGAGAAAGAATAAATGCAGCTAGAAATAAATATGCGCAGTTAAAAATATAGTAGCTCACTAACCCATATACATACATGTATGAAAATGCAGGTGTAAGTGTGTGAGCCACAGAGGCATTGCATACAATCCACTAGAAAATGTAGTCTACATATGTGTACGTAATTTAATTTTAACAAATTTTACTTAATTTTTTAAATTTTTCTCGTAGTACACTTGCCTTTTTCGCTTAACTTTCTGTTAAAATATGGATAAAAGTAATAAAAAATCAATAAAAATACTTGAAAATATAAGAAAATTATTAAAAATAC